TTCTACTTTCTACCATCAAAATTGGAATAATTTTGACCATCAAAATCACCAAACCAATTTGGGCTGCATGTATAGTCTAGACCATATGGTTGAGGTGATAAAAAGGTCTAGTCCAGCAGTATTACATAAAGCTCAGTGTTGTGAAGGTGGAAAAGGTTTTTAATACTTAGATATTAAAGCAATTTTGGGAATTTGTTTCAAGAAATTACCAAGCATCCAGAAATATCAACATTTTCTTTTTGAAGCAACTAATCTTGGTATGGTCAAAGCTCAGGAAATTGCTAATGGACCTTTTACTGAATTCAATTTATTGAAAACCAAGAAGGCAGATATTTTTGAAGAAATTAGAGCTTTATCTACTTTAGTGTTAACACCACCCACCTCCTTTGGATTACAAAAGACAAGAGTATCTTTACCAGAGTATTCACCCATTTGTGAAAGATGAATACAAAGATATTGCTTGTCCAAGACCATTATATACTGGCAACAAATAAAATATTTAGAATAAAATCATCTTGACTTTATCACTAGTTAATTTGTCATTAAGTTTAATAAGTTTGGTTTTTTGACAAATATTGTTAGCTTTTTCCACCTTTAAAGTAAAAAAAGTACTAAAATAATTTATATACTTAATATACCCTCATAAAAAGGATACAAGTATATTAAAAAAATAAATAAATAAAAAGTAATAAAAAGAAAGTCATGACAAACATTATAAGTGAACTCCAAGAAAGTAATAAACAATTATTAGAAGAAAATGAAAATTTAAAGAAGCAATTAGCAGATAAAGAAGAAATTCTTAAACTAAAAATCTGAGGTCAGTATATTGAAGAAAATGGTGAGGTTGGCATGCATGCTCCTAGGGGTACAAAAAATTAAACAAAAAATGGATGGATGAAGATAAACTTAGAATGGCAGTAGATCCTAATGAGACTAGGGAATGAGCTAAAGGTTGTAAAAGAATTTGATTTGATAACATTACTATTGAAGAAATGTTAGAGGGATTTATTGAAAGTTCAAATGAAATTAGGTGGTAGTTATGCTGAAAGCTATTCTAGAGTAAGCAATTTAAATAATCAATTGTATCAACAAAAGAGAGATTATGAAGAGAAGATAGCAGAGTTGGAAGCAAAAAAGGAGGAGTTGGAAGCAAGAGTAGAAGAGTTAGATGATGAAATATGAATGGAGTGAGAAAAGCTGAAAAAGCACTAAATAAAGCCATGGAATGAAGAAATGACAAATGTTTGAAACTTTGTTGAAGCATGATGCTGCAATGGGTAACTTCAAGACCAAATAAAATAATTTAGCTACTAAAATCAGGAAATAAACTGAAAAGATTATTTAGCAACTAAAGAATTACCATCTTTACCAATGCAACAAAAAGAAAATAGATTATGCAAACTCAAAAAATTAGTAAATAAAGCAAAAGAAAAAATTAAAGAGAAGTTCCAGACTTTTATTGTTCAAAAGAACAAGTAAGCCAACATGAGATTAGAATATAGGATTCTGGAAATAGCCCAAGGAAATGAACAAGAGTGTAACTTCTGCTTTCTAGATTTTGATGACCAAACTCTCCTTAATTTTGATACTGCTCCTGCTACTCATCAAATGATGGCTAATAATACTCCTGATGGTTACTCTGATATAGTTTTTATTTGCAGTGAATGTAAGAAACATTACAATAATAATACTCTTCCATGATGTGAGAAATGTGGGAGGTTAAAAAGGAATAGAAACAGGTGTTTTTGTAGTCATTTAAAAGCTAAATCAACTAAACCACTTTCTGACAAAGAACTACTTTCACAAGCTTTCAGTTTTCGCCTAGAAAATAAAACTAGAGAACTAGAAAAAGAGTTATCAATTACCAAAGAAGAATTAAAAATTGAAAGAGAAGAAGTAGCCAAATTTCAGGAAAAATCAGAAGAGTGAAGTAAAAAGCAAAAATAGGAGTTATTAGATAAGATAAAGAGTTTAGAAAAAAAAATTAATCATATAGAAGAAGAAAACAGGAAATTAAAAGATCAACAGAAGGGACAATTAACTGCTCAAATTGAAGTCAGAGAGACTAAAAGATGATCTTGATTGAAAATAAAAAAAGTAGTTTAAAGAAAATTTTAGTTATTTTCTTTTTAAGGATTTTTGTTTTTATTAGATAATAATGCATCATCATGATACTTTCTTTTTCCAACATTTATTATTTTCCTTTCTTCTTGGTAAATTTCATAGGTAATATTTTCTTTCCTTAGATAAGCTTCAAGTGTCTGAGTATCATTTATTTTGAAAATATAAGGAGCAATCTTTTCCCCTTGTTCCTTTTTTAGAATACTTCCGATAGTACTATAATTCTTGGGTTCCATTGTAGTAGATCTGATGTAAATTAACTTCATATTATTATTTTTGTTCTATATATCACTTAAGATAACAAATGGGATATTATAAAAACTGTTAATTACAAATGACTAAATATTGATCCCTGAAATCTTTGTCTGGTATACCCCGTATAATAAGTGGTGTGACTATTTTGGGACTATACCAAATCAAATTACGAATTATGCAAATGCATAAATCTGGTGAATCAATCATTTTTTTTTCTTTCCAAAACTTTCAAAAACTTTCAAAAACTATGATGGTGACTAATATTTTCATACGTGTGTGTATAAACGTTTGAAGGCTAATCACCACCACCATCGCCAATGTATGTGTTTAGATCAATTTACAACAATTTTACAAAATGAAGACATTGTTGATCTGGTTCTCGAGGCTCTTAAAATGAAGAAGACTGATGGTCCTCTTCTAATCATACAGCGAAACGATTCGGTTTTTAGCACTGCAAACAAAGGATGAAATAACATCGCAGAGGCAGTGTCATAAGTCACATCATTATTAATGGCGGAAGAGATATCGATAATAAAAACACAATCTTCATATTCCAAAAGTCTGAACAATTGGCCGATTGTGTGCGTATATACAAAGATTTCCTGTTTAAATTTAATCTCTTTGTGTTTTGAATCCTTTAATATCGAATTTCTTTCATTTCTTTTTGCTAAAGGACACACCGACAACCAGGGTTCCCATATATTGCTCACGCTGTAATTATTATAATAAACGAACTTTTAGAGTCAGGAAGTTTCGAAGTGGAAAGACATGATTACCCATTCAATTGACCGTGATTATAATCCATAGTGATGACGATATATTCTTTTTTTACTAATTTTTTAGTAACAAGTTGTCATCGCAATAAATTTTTCAAACTCAAAAATATTATATAAAATATAAAAAGAAATTATTCGATATTGGTTGAGATTGGGGTAATTCACATATTTGTTGTTTATTAACAACAATTTACTTTTTATAATGAACACAAATGGTAAAATCATATGAGAATAAAACATTGATAGCAACATGTACAAATAATAATTTATTCATCGAACCATTATTAATATTTCTTCACGTAAGCATTTTACATGCAATGCAAAAAAAAAAAAAAAAAAAACAAAAAATGTAATTTTTTATTTAATTTTATTTTATTTATTTATAAACAAAAAGAGTATATATATATATATATGTATATTTATAAAAAAAAAATAATAAAACAAACAAATTATATATATATATATATATATATATAAGTAAAAAAAGAATAATTATAACAAAAAATATATTAATTAATTAATTCAAAAAAAAGAAAAAGATATTATATTACATTGAAAAAAAATCTTTCATTGACTAATTGTAAATCAAAAGATTAATTTTCTTTTTTTTTTAAAAGGATAAAATAAAAAAAAATAAAAATACTAAAAATAAAAATACTAAAAATACTAAAAATACTAAAAATACTAAAAATACTGGGGAAAAAAAGTATATACGTATGTATGTATTGATTAATATTTATATTATATTATATATATTATTATAAAAACTATATTATTAAATATTAGAAAACTGATTCGAAACGTCTAGAATCTATACCAAGCCCAGAATTAGACGACGATGATGTTGTTGGCGAAGTTGTTGAAGAAGTTGTGGATGTGTTATTGTTACTAGTAGTAGTACTATTAACGGGATCTTTTAAACCTGATTTTGCAATAGCAGAATAAGAAAGTGGAGTTTTTGGTGTATCGTTATTTGAAGCTGAAGAGGTGGAAGAAGAGGAAGAAGGTGAAGACGTAGTAGTAGTAATAGGCGATGTTGGTGATGATGGCGTAGAAGATGATGCGATCGTAGTTTCTTTATTATTATCATTAGCAGTAGCAGAAGCAGCTTGTTTAGTATTATTGTTATTATTATTATTTTGTTGTTCATTTTTTTCAACTTCCATGGAAAAGAAAGGTTCTTCATCTTGTGCAAAAGGACTAAATGGATCAGGCGTAAATGAACGAACTCTGTTATTATTGGTATTACTAGCACTGTTAAGATTACTAATAGCTGGATTGGTAGCAGTAGTAATATTATTACTATTTTTAATATTGTCAACAGTATTGGTGATAAGACCATCAACACCACCACTGTCACCATTAATAATACTATCATCATTAGTGACGTTGGCATTAATACTAATTGGTCTGCTTATTACACGAAAATCGCTAAACAATGATGATGAGTTTGTGCTTGTCGAATGATTTTCATGTGGTGAAGGGATGTTGATAGGACTGCTAAAATTCATAAAACCATTTGCTGATGACGATGACGACGGAGAGGGTAATTGATGATAATGGGGGTGTTGTTGTTGTTGTTGTTGTTGTTGTTGTAATTGTAATTGCTGCAGCTGTTGCAGTTGCAGCTGTTGTTGATGATAAGGACTTAAAGGACTTAAAGGTTGACGATCACTCCATTCATTAATATTATTATTAATGTTAATGTTATTAATGCTATTAGGTAAACGTTGAATATCATCATGAGTTATCGAAGCAGAAGAATAATTAGAAGAAGCTGGACCATCAACAAATCCGTATGGTAAAGAACGTACAGTTGAATGATGAATATGTGATGGGTCCACTGCGTGATGAGAGTTGTAAGCATATTGAACGTCAGAAGGATGTAAAGAAGAAGAATTCGAGAACAATCTTCTAGGACTAATTATTTCCAAAGTTTCTTCCTGTCTACTACGTCTTCGTTTACGTTCATCTGGGGTTAGTAAATCGTTTAGCGAGGAAGGGATGAATTCTTCGTAATCAACATCATCAATTAATGGTGACGATTCTTGAAGATGATGATAAGAAGAAGAATGATGATGTTGATGTTGTTGTTGTTGATGTTGTTGTTGTTGTTGTTGTTGTTGATGTTGTTGTTGTTGTTGTTGTTGTTGTTGTTGTTGTTGATAATTGGTCATAAGTTGTAGTTGTTGTTGTTGACGAATATTTTGGTCAAGATAACTGCTAGTATTGAAACTATTATTATTATGAACATGACGATCTTCTGGGATACTGTGAAGTTGTTGGAAAGAAGAAGAAGTTGGCGAAAGTATGCCACTTTCAGAGTAAGAGGAGAAAGGTAAAAATGATCCTTTTGTTCTAACATTAGATTGGTAGGGTGAGGTGCTAAATGGATCCATAGGACTTGGTTGCGAAATATCAGGCAAAGATCTACGTTGTTGAAAATTAATATTAATCGGAGCACTTAAATGGTTATTGTCATTGCCATTACCATTGTTAAAGCCAATAAATGTTGGTGAAGTGGTCCTTAATGATCTAGAGGAAGGTGAGTAGTTATCATCCGAGTACAATGGAGGGGCAGAAGATGGATTCAAAGATGCGGTTAATTGGCTATGAGATCTATGACTATTTTGATATTCAGTTGGACTTAATGGCATACGAGAGAACGGAACCATTCCAGGTGAATTTGACGATGAAAAATCGTTTAATTCTTGTTGATTATTATTACCGTAACTTTGAGATACAGGTGATCTAATAATCTCAGGAATATTATTAATTCTTAATCCATTAATATTTTTACCATTATTATTAGGGTTATTGTTAATTTGTTTGGTAGAAGTTTTTAATGGTTGATTGTGAGACAGAGCACATTTATTGCCAAATTTACAATTCCCCTTTAAAAAAAATTTGCAGACATAGTTATCAGCTGGAGGATCTTTACTATGCAAAAATTGACAATTTTTTCCAGCAGTACATGCACTACTTTTAAAGAATTTACAAGGAATATGAGCCAAGTTACTATTGCCTTTTTTTTAAAAAAAAAATAAAGAAAATTAATTAAATAATTGATGATATCGCAGGAAAAAATTAAATAAATCACAGATCAAAAAAAATGACATACTTTTTGAATTATTATTATTATTATTGTTATTATTATTATTATTATTATTATTGATGGAATTATTAATGTTGTTGTTTGAATTTGTTCTTACTCTTCTAGGAGGTTGATTTGACAAAAGTGAGGGTGGCGGAGGAGGAACACTGTTAGTTGGAGTAACAGGAGCAGAGATTGCTTGAGAGATGGGACTATCATTGCCACCATTATTGTTGTTGTTGTTGTTGTTGTTGTTGTTATTTACAGAGTCAGGTTGAAACGATGAAAAAGAATCAGCGGATGAGGTAGGACTATGATGAGTAGAAGGAGAAGTTACTATTGAGGGTACATGAAGAAAATTATTATCTATTGGTTGTTTGCTATAATATTGAAATTGTGAAAGGATCGGAGGATTTGGTAAAGAGCTAGCATGCATGATTGAAAAATAACTTTTTGATGAGTTTTTTCTAATATTTCTTTATGACATATATATTTTCTAAATAGTTAATTTTACTAATTAAATTATAAATTTTTTTCTAATTGATAAAATTTTTGTTGGTTGATTTTTTTTGTAGTCGTAACCGTTATATTTTAAAAATTGTGTGAATCTTGAGAAAATTTTCTAAATTTTTTTTTTTAATTTTAATTTCCTAATAAAAAATATATATATTTGTGTAATATAAATATATTTAAAAGAGAAAAAAGTAAATTTCCTTTGAAAGAAGAAAAATATTATTTAATAATAATAATAAAAGATGAAAAAAGAAAAAAGACGAGTAATGAGTAGAGAATTTTGTAAGAAAAAGAGTTGGTGAGAGAGAGAAGAAGAAAGAAAAAAAAAAAATGAAAACAAAAAAAAAGGTCAAAGCATACAAATCCAAAAAAAGGGACAGAAAATTTTTTATATTTAGAATAGGATATAGATTAGTAAATGGATAATATTATTGTAATTAAAATTCTTTTTTTTTTCTAAAAAAAAAAGTTTATATTTTGATGAATTTTGTTGCCGATTATTTAACGTGTAGAATAACCATGACATTTATTATATTGTAAATGAGAAATATAAAATGGCGATATTCGTGAGCGTGTAACCTTTAGTCAAGATTTATACTATAAAAAGAATATGAACCTATTAAAAATAATTATTTTGTATTTATTGTACTATGAAAATGATTTTTTTGTTTTGAGTATTTATAAATAAAAATAAATAAATAATAAATAAATAATTTTTTAGTAACAAAAAAAAAATTTTTAATTGTATTTTTTAAAATTAAAGGGACTTTTTTTATATAAGGAGTTTTTTTTTTAAACTTGGTAGGAGTTTTAATTTAAATTGATAATAGTTTTTTTAATTAATAGCTTAAATAATAATAAAAAAGAAACTATAGTTTTATTTGTGTTAATTAAATAGTTTATTTATTTAATTTAAAAGCTTAATTAGTTAATAGTTTATTTATTTGGATAGTTCGGTTAATTAACAAAAATATTAAAATATAATAATAACACATCAACAGTTAATTAATTAATTAATATACAATAATAATATTTTTTTGGCGAATTTCTTTATATGGAATTAACACAAAAAACATAATAAAAAATTTTTTAGAATTATTAAAATCAAAAATTAAAAAATCATTTAATTTTTTCGCGCCAAAACAAAGAACAAAAAAATGAATGTGTATGTGTATGTGTGTATATATATGAACATGATATTTAAGAAAAAAAAAAGGGAGGAAAATAAAGTTGGCACTAAATAATAATGATAACAATATATTTTAAGAAAAATCAATAATAATAAAATAAATTAAATTAAATGGTAAAAATAATGAAGAATTAGTTCTTGTGTAATCGTGAAAAAAATTTAAATTAAAAATGTTAACTATTATTATTATTTGATTTTTTTTATATATGCATTTCTTTGTGATAATGATAATGATATTACTTTTGATGCATACATACATACATACATACATACATACATACATACATACATACATACATTCACTGTCTGTATAATAATAAACAAAAAAAAAAAAAAAGAATCACTTTCACTTCACTTTACCAATTAGAAAAAAATTAATTAATTAATCATTCGTGTAACGATAATGACGCTAACCAATCAAATCAAATACTTTTGACGTTAAGTAGTTGGCAAATTGGGAGTTTTGACTTTTTTGATCCAACAAGAAGAAGATATACAAAGCAATAATAATAATAGCAGATCAATTAATTATATATGAATTCTTTTTTGCCAATAATCAATTATTATCGAAAAGGAGTAATGCTACTAACTAATAATATCTTATTTTTTTCAGGGATCCTTAATATGTAATCAATGCATTAATAACCTACAACAATAACAATAACGCCAAAAATAGAAAAAGGGAAACAAGACCAGGAATTATTTTTAACTATCATGATTTTCATTCATTCATCCATTATACGACACCCAATAAATTTTTAGGTCGTCCGTCGGCACATTTATGATGACGATGAGTGGAAGGGTTGGATTGGGAGACGAGATTCAGGGAGGATTTGCTACATCGTTTAATTTCAACTCGATTCGAACTCAACTTAAATAATTATGCAACCCGCAATGAGATTATAAATGCGAATAAATTGAATGCATAATTTAAAAAAGTATTAGTATGAAAAAATAATGAAATGTGAATTTTGAATTTTGCAGTATTTAAAAATCATTGGATCTTTATTTATGCGATTTTTATTAATTTTAAAATATCCGTAAACAAAATAAAAACACAAACAAACATAATATTAATTCTAATATATTAATAACAATAATTAATTATTATTTATTTTTTTAATTTAATTTTAATTTTTTTTTAATTTTTTAAAATCGCAACTTTATGTTTTTGTATTCAAACTCTAAAATCAAAAAAAATCTACATTATTCATAGTATCGGATAAAAAAATTCCTTTATTCACTGAAAATATTTTTAGCATTTGTTTGTTTTGATTTTTTCCATATTTTTATTTTGAAAAAAAAAACTGTATATAATTAATAATCACACGGCACAACGTAATCATATAAACAAGCACGAAATCATCTAATTGTTAAAAATAAATCATTATAAATAATAATCTTCACCAATCAATCATTCTATTGGTTGTGTATGTTTACTCCTTTAGATTGGAAAAGTCATCTATTATTTAGTTCGGGAAAAGGTTTTTAAGTCCGGAAATAAAAATCACGTTCTCATATATAGTGTTCCTCCTATATATTCATATCTCTTATTAGAGAATATTCGAAAGTATTACGAATATCCGTAATGGATATCTGTAACACCTTTGGATACTTTCAAAAACTTAATATTCATAATGTCAAATATTAATTGTAGATACAAAATATTATCAATCATTTAATTTATAAATTTTATTATATTTCCTGTTTTATCAAGTTTTGGTTTTTTTATTTGGTAAATTACATGATCTATTAATACGGACTTTGCTGGAAAATTAAGTTTGTTCCTTCACCTTCTTCATAATCACTAATAATAATACAATCATTTACTAAAGACATTTTTATTCAAGAATTTGAAATAAAAAAAATTTCATGTGAGCATTTCAAATAGTAGATACAGCCACTCAATGATCAAATGCGGTCGATCTTCAAAGGTTCATATTGAATTATAAACAAAAAAAAATTTATATTTTTTACAGATATTTACTTATTTATTAACGTGAATCACAAATATTAATATCACCATTTTTCAATATCACCATTAATATCACCATTAATAATGAGTGAGGCAAAAAAAAAATTTAATTCTTTGTTTTTTTCTTCACCCTCACTATAGTTGGCTTGGTAAAAGTATAAAAGTCGTTTTCTGACCTACCTTTTTAAAAAAATAGCTCTATTAGTTGATAGAATAGATCTTTAATTTTAATGTAATGGAGAGATTTTCTCAAAAAAAATATTGGTTGCAGAGTTCTATTCTTTTTTAAAACATGTATGAGCGCTAGTATCATTGTTAAATTTAGTCTAGTTTTCGATCATCATTACTAAATTTAGACTAATACTATATTCTATATATATATAATCATATCTAAATTTGGCAATAAGGAAAATCACATAAAGACCTTTTTTGAAAAGTTTTTTTTTTGAAATTTGAGCGCGTGGCGCAGTATTAGGAGTCTTTAGACCGAGCCAACCCATAATTGAAATTCGTGTTACCTTAAATAATATTCATTTATGAAACTTTAAATAACTTTTGAACTGAAAAATAGTAAATTTTAATTTGTGGATTACACAAGATCCAATTACAAAAGAGTAATCTTTTCAATGAAACATTTTAAAAATTTAAAATGGAAGAACAAAATTAAAATCCCTTCTTCATAACAGCAATATTCTTCATTATAAAAAAACTTGGTTATACATATACTGGCTGTTAGTGTTCCATGTCTCAATCCAAAAAAGGAAACAAAATGGTCGTAAAGGCAGTTGCAATCATTTTTATATGATGCAAAGATGGTAGCAAACATCATCAAAAGTTGCAGCCAGTATCCTTACTGGCTGTAGTTTAGATTTAGGTTTATTATTATTATGTCCAGTTTAAAGCTCCAAACGAGCTGAGCTTGAGCCAAGAAATAATAGGCTCAAGTTTGATGTTATATAAGTATTGCAATAAGCACTAAGTTAGTCAACCACTTCACGGATAAGTCAGTTTCACATGACTAAGTTTTCAAATTCTGATGAAAATAAAAAATCACTTACATTATAATGGGTTTTTGTTTCCTCTGGTTTCTTTTATAACACTTTTATAATTAATTGTCCCTCGTTACAACGGGAAAAAATAAAAAATTACATATGGAACTGTGTGTACTTATTGATTGATTGATTATAGAATAAAAATGGCTGGAATTATTGCTGCAGTACAAGAGACACCAGAAGAAGAAGAGGGTCTTCTAATATCAAATACAATTGTTCTAAATAACATTCAAAATTTAACTATTTGCGACTAAATTCCAATATAATTCAGTAATATCGGAAATGAATCACGCATATGACTGACTTATTGAGTAAACCGATTTATCAAATTTCATATAATTTCTACAATATTTAACTAAACATAAAATATAATAAAATAACATATATAATTGTTCGTTATAGGAGTAAGTTGCTTTAAAGAAGCCTTTTGCGTTCTTCTAATTTGATGTTCAAATCACTAACTACATTTACATATTAGAAAAATATCAATAAAAGAAAGTTATAATGAAATAATAGATCAAAAAAGAATTGTAATAGTAAATGATCATTCAATAGAATAAAATAATGGATCAAGAAATAAAGCCTTTTAACCAATTGACCATTTGGGCATAAAGAATTGGAAATGATGATTTTAATTCATATTGTGATTAAATCCATAATGAATACTTTCCATCTCACCATTTTGTAATTTATCATTTTCTAATAATATAAAAAGAATAATTATTCCTTTGTCATTGAGGCAATATCGAGCTGGCTCGTTCGGAGCTTTAATTATATCAACCATTGAAATAATTGAATTAACAAACTTTGCTTCAGCGGAATTTTGTTTCAACGAATTTTATATTTAAATCGCGTTACAACGTACAATAAATTTATTGGCAGGATTTTAAAAAGATGAAAGCGAGCAATTGTTTAATTAAAAATAAAATAATCATCAACATCAACATCAACAACATCAATCACTGCTGAACAAAAACGCGAATTATGTTTATTAAAACAAACTAAACCCCGGCCAAAAAATATTGAAAACATGGAATTAGTGCGGGTCAAGTTAGTGACATATTGAAAGAATCTGATATAGGGTCGGATCGGTCTTTGGACTGACCGATCTTCTCGGTCCTCAGTCCTAAATTTGAGACTGAAAAGACCGGACCTTAAAAAAGGAAATAGTGTAACATATGTTATTTAAAAAATTTATAAATAAAATTGTTCCCACGCTAAAAAAAATTTGTTGTTACAAATCTCAGAGTTCTGATAACCAAATGGACAATTAAACCCTACTGTTTAATTTCCGACATAAAAGTGTTTTATAAGAGAAACAAAGAATATATTTCTTTGTTTATTATTATATTTCATCACGCGTAATTAATTTTGTAATTACTATTACATATTGCGTATTAGTATATATTACCGTAAAGTCTCGATAGTACCATTGTGTAACAAATGATTTTCAATTGTTTTAAAGTAGGGATGGCATCTTTTGGTGGCGAGACTTTACAGTACATATTATATTTTTGGCAAAACAATTATCATCCGACGTATAATTAATTAATTAAATTTTATGGGTTTTACATTACTCATAATTAATTTCGTCTATAATGCTCGTAATTAATTTTATCACCCATAATTAGTTTCATAATTAATTTCGTGATTATGTATTACATTTTTTGCAAAACAATTACCATCCCATGTATATCTATATTCTTTTTAAATTTTTGTAATAAATAAAAAGATTAAAAAAAATTCGTGAAGACCCGCATGAAAGACTGGTCTTTGAGGCCGAGACCAATCCAACACTACTTACTGGTTCAAAGGTTGTTCGATGGCTGTTGATCATCAAACATCAATATTATGTGCGGATTTTTTAGTATCTTTATCATATATTTCAACATATGTGAATGTTGACAACGAAATTCAACCAAGAATACATTTTTTTGAAAACATGAATTATAAAAAGAAACTTCTTATTAATTTATCAATTACAATGTAAATTTTTATGGTAAAATTTAATAATAAATCGGATAACTTTAAACCATGATAACGTTTTTTTTCATAATAAAATTAAACAAAACCTTTTGTAGTTTTATTGCTCAATTCTTCTGTTATAAATCTATAGAGTTTTTTTCACTGTTTTACTTGGTTATAAAATTTTTCTATTAGCAATATTTTTTCAATTTCTTTAGAATATATAAAAAAACTTTTTTTTTATTTGACAAGAAAAAAACCTCTCTATAGCCTAAAAGTTTGGTATATTGCTATAATTTCTCTTGGTTTCATGTTTGTATCTCTTTAGTTGAAGGCTCTGATAGAATTTTTATTTATATAGTTTTTATATATACTTTATTTTTTAAAAAAAGTTTGTTATAGATCAATTTAATTAATGCATTTCATGCTCCAATGTCATTTAGTTTAATGCATGCTGTGTGATTAACTGATAAACATTTGTTTAATTTTTTACTAACTTTGATGGACCTGTAGCTTTGCCATTCAGTAGTGAGTGATGTTAAAATTTGTTTCCATTTTTGAAAAGAATGTGAGTCCACCACACCATTGTAGATTTCTGGATTTATGTCATCTTTTGGATGGTATTGAGGGTTCCAATGATCATTTAAAGTTCTTGATTCATTTATGTTACCTGCCACATTTTGATTTTCACTGGGTCAGTGATTAGCATAATAATATTATTTTCTTTATATATAACTCTATCTATAATTATGTGTTTATGTTCCCTTTCCAATATAGAATTTATAATGAAGCCTTGGCTCTATAATCCTTGCATATTTTTTTTAATAAAATAATTAATTGATCTTGTTTAAATTTTGTTTCTTGTAATTTTCACGTTATATATTTTGAAAACAAGTTTTTTCATTGTGTTTATATTGTTTTCATTGATACTTTCTAATGGATATTCAGTTTCCTTTGAAATATCCACAATATTATTTTTTATTATAATCCAGTTTTCATTTGTTGGGAGTCCTTTCTCATTTATCTAATCTTATTATAATTTTACCAATAGATTTTAGATATATATAATTTAATTTTAATGATGTAGATTTTTCTTTAGTATTAGTTTTTTCATTTGCTATCCATTTTGATGGTATATGATCTATTGCTGATTGTATAATGATTTCTCTAATTTTATCCTATTGTGAGATAGTAAAATAAGGACCGATAGAGAGGTCCCCCACGTTGCCGATCCAACCAAACCAAATTACTGTGGAAGTCACGTGATAATCACATCATTTCTATTTTTTTTTTTTAAGGTAGAGTTCGTTACACGGCATATCATATGGCAAAAAAATCACACGACCACAATTTTAAGGTTTGTACATACAAAACTTCTTGTAAAATTGCAAAACTTTGTATATATACTCTCTGGGATTAAAACTATTGAAAAATGTGCTTTTAATAACTTTTGTTAATAAAGTTTTACTAAAAAGGTAATGTGAAGTTCAACAAACGTTACAAATTCTATAGGTAAAGTTACAAATTCTTGTCCTCTACTATATGTTTTTGTTAAATTAAGAAAAATTAAATGAACAGCCTTTAAGATATCTTTAATTGCTATAAATTAATATAAAAGATGCTTTGAATTTTATAAAAGACAAAGCTATACTAATAATATATTCAAAAAGGTTTTCAAAATCTGAAGTTGAAATAATCAATATTAAAATACCTGATTTGATTTATCTACTATATGTACAATTATCAATTTCTTTAAATCATCAAAAACTTCATAGCCAAATTCACAACAAATTGAGCACAATCCTCCAAGATCTTCACAATATATGAATAGACCATCTTTTATTTGCTTCAAAAATGTGGTACGTTTCATACCATTATGATAAGTCTCAGAAAATTTGTTCCAGAGAGATTCTTTTGGTCTTGTAAATATAGTATTGGTTCATTAGTAATAGGATGAGCTTTATATGAGCTCATACTTAAATTTGCTTTATCTGCAAAAAAGGAATCAAATTGTTGTTGCATTTCAGATGTTATGGTTGATTTCTTTTTTATTTTGGACTAGATAATTGTACATCACCTGCTCCATTAATATGTGAATACTTTCTTGCATTATTTATTGTTGAAGGTGAGACCTTGTGATCAACAAATAAATTAGTTTTATTTTTATATACAAACATGATAAATAAAAGAACTTACATTCAACATATCTTGTAATTCTTTATAAGAAAACCCTTGTGCAATTATTGACAATATACATTGTATACCATTACTACCTTTATTATTATTTTTTAATGATTCTTTAAAACATTTCCAAAATTTTGGTATTGAGTCTTGTTGTTGGTCTGGATATAAATTTAAAAAACCATTTTCATATAAATATCTGAATGTTTCTTTATTTTTGGATTCATCTTCAGCTCTAGTCCAAAATTCAAACTTAAAATAGTGTTTATTAAATAATAATCCAAATAAAAATAAATATAATAATAAATGAATAATCAACAAATAAAATTGTACTTACATATGATTCTTTTCTTGGGAAAGGTGTTATATTTTTACAACTAGTTGATCTCAACATTGAATGCCAAGCTTAAATTTCATGTTTACTAAATTATGTCCTGGTGGATATATTTCTGATAATTTTGTATATAATTCAATTACTTCACTCTTTTGATCTAACCAAGTTAAAAAAAGATCATACCCATTAGCACTTGAAATTGTTTTTTTTTAAGATGATGATTATATAATTTTTCCATTACTTCTAAATTGGCCCAATCAGAAGGTATACATATAAGAGGTTTATTATTAGATAAAATTCTCTGTATATTAGAATTTGTCAAACCAAATAGTTGATCACCAGTATACTTGGATAAAATTCCAATATGTTGCCAAACTGCTGTGGGAGTATTTTCAACAAAACTGCCCACTTTGTTCAATTTATTCCAAATCTCAACATAACATAATCCATTTGATATTTTTGGATAAAATTGCAATTAGTTCTCTTGTATGCATATGAAAATGATGATAAATAGCCATCACCTGCTCTATGCCATTCCTCATTTGATGAAAACCCCATTTTGAATACATTAATGGATGTTTTATCTAGCAGAATTGATAGTGGTTGAAAACTAATATCAGTCAATGGGCGCCTTCAAAAATTATTTGATCTTCAAAACCTATAACCTTTATGCCAGAAAATCTAGTCCCAACATTAAAAAATTTTTGGTAACA